GTTGAATACCCTGAGGATAGCTAGTCTGATTATTGAACTCTGAGGCAAAGAAAGCATTAAGCACCTCAGCCTTTTCCTTGTCCTTGGTGATAATGTTCCCTCCTGCATCCAACAAAGGATGGAGATTCTCCAAAGCTCTCCTTTCATTGTTAATGTATTTGTAAAAACATTTTTTATTATCTTTTACCGCTGCAGCCAGGTTGAGTTCCAGTTGGGCTTTTGCGTTCCTAATTTTAACTCTGCATGACCTGGCAAGATCCCTGTACTCTTTTTGGGTTGCCTGACCCTTCTTCCAGAGGTGGTAGACTCTCCTTTTTCTCCCTGAGTCCCAGGAAAAGCTCTTTGTTTAGCCGGGCCGGTCGTCTTATATCCAAAACTGACTCCCATTGTAACTAAGGAACCAGTGCAGACCTCTGTTGCTGTTCATTAAGTTGTTGTTCTGGGCTGCCTAAATGCTAAGCAGCTCTTCAGAATCTTTTCCTTTACATTGGAGCCACATTTGTTGTTGACTGCAACATGGAAAAGTTGCAAAGATGTCATATTCTGAAGTTGTGGCTGAAGCCTGGGACTTTCTTTTCTTCCTATGTCTGTTCTCTGTTATTTTGTTATTGGCATGTATGGCCTACACACAGAGGTGACATTTAAAGAACACGAAATAAAGCACTTAAAAGCTAGGAAAAAACAAGATAAATGTTGTCTGTGCATTGTCAGTTTGCCCATTTTTTTCTGTCTATGGGTTTATGAAGTCCCTAAATAAAGGGAGGGTAATGAACACATGGGTTAGTGTTCTGTGCAAAGATGACAAATGTTATCTTGTCAGACAAATGTTATCTTGGCATCCTAATCCTGTCAATATTCACTAATGGCCCTTTTAAGTAGGAACTCATTGAGACACTTTACTTTCTCTTCACAATAATTGCAGATGGTATAGGCAAAACAGATTACCTCGGCTATCTGGAGGAGTTGACAGATTTCATCCAGTAGCTCCTGTTTTTTTCTGTTCTGTTTTGGGGGTGTACGGACAGAGGGTTGGTTAGGGTTTTTTTGGATCACCATAGCTGCAGCTTAGCGGACCAAATTGCCATTCAGCTATTTTATTGGCTCATCACAGTCCTTTTCTCATTTAGTGGCTGTATGATCATGTACTTTGAGAGCATGTCATACACCTTTCAGCAAATACTGATTGTCAAGTTGGTCTTTAAAAAGCAGTGTTTGTGAATTCCTGCAGCTTTGTAGGCAGAGGCATTTATCCTAAATGAGCTATGCCACCTTTTGCTTTCTTTCTATGACAAGACAGAAAGAACAAGTCCTAACATCTCTCAGAAAAAAAATCTTTCAGATGGGTACCCCAGGTTGCCTGCCACTCCATTATCATACCAACACTAACTTACCGCTCTCTGTAAACTTGTGGGAAAGACTGTCCTCTTGTCATCAAGCATCAAGGTCCTCTGGGCCTCTGTTCATGCATCTGTCTCTACCCGTGTTACTTCACCTTGTTGGGGCGAAATTAAAACAGCCTCTATTAAGCATATTTTTATTATTAAGATACCTTAAAACTTCGTCTCTGCTGCCATCTGTTTTCTTTTTTGTCCGTAACACTGTCCATGGAATTGCTGTAGTAGTGGATCCATGGACAGTGGATCTGATCTGGTTTTATATTTAACTTTTGAGATGTATATATTGTTTGGGTTTTCTACTTACTGTCATTTTAGCACACTAGATATGGAAAGCCTGAAATATTTGCAAAACATTAATTAATGTGTTAGTTTGGTGTTTTTAGATGCGGACTGGGCAGCTATTATGGAACCATAGGAGGTCCGTACACATACTTCAGTCCACAACTGAAAGCCCAAGAAAGATACGTTCCTCCTGGAAAGAATTTTTATACTAACCCAGGAAAGAAAGGAACTGGATATGGGTAACTTCGCAATATTGCTTCTTGCAGAGTATTTTATTCACTGTTTCTTGAGTTTTGAACACCTGAGTAATTAATTTTGTTTTTACAGTTATGCAAACCTTACCATAGGTGAACAATATGCGCATGAACCTGATGGGTATGATGTAGAAAGAATAAATGCAAAGGTAAAAATATTTGTGTTTATTATGTATTAGTGTTATGATTATTTATTACAATTTATGTGAACTTTTTGTTTCCTGTGGTGTTTCCTTTAGCTTGAAATCACTCATGTTTATTTACAAAGTGAAGAAAGAAAAAGAAATTAATGACCATCCTATATAAAAAAGATTTAGGTATTGTTCATTTATTATTTTTTCTTTGAGATGTCTGTCAGTGTTGAACACGAGTTCAACCATTCAGGATTTGACCTTAATTTTTTATTTGGAGACCTTAAGCTACAATGCAGTAATGACCAAACAATGCTAACAGCAAGAACAATAGTACTTATATGTTGTTGTCAGAAGATTGGGACCTCATTATCTGAGATGCTTGTTTTGGGTTTGTGCAGTGGGTTTCGGTAGTGGGGGAAGGCCTATAGGCCTGGCTCCTGTGAGAAGCTGCTAGAAGGTGGGTTTCGGTAGCGGGGGAAGGCCTACAGGCCTGGCTCCTGTGAGAAGCTGCTAGAAGCTTCCTGGGCTCCAAGTCGGACCCACCTCTGGCCAAGGCAGAGGTAGTCAGTGCCTTTGTGAGTAACAAATTGAAGAGGGGCGCAGTGCATGGAGCAGCCCTGGCCCTGAGAGACAGGAGTTTCTCAGGACCCAGCAGTGGAGAGAGGAGTGGGATGTGAGAGAGAAAACTATGCAGACGTGAAGGTCAGTGAAGAAAGGAGTAGGGGAAGGTGCGCTTCATCTTACTCAGTGGGGGTTTTTTTTATGGTTAACAAAATAAATTGTTTTGTGTTTCCCCAAGTTGAGTCTGCTTTTTCACTGTGACCATAATTGGCAAGTGATCCCTTCCTGTCCTTGCCTTGGTCCAAAAGGTTCTACGTTTTGTTGTCATGATTCTACTCCCCATCCCACCACGGGGTGGAGGAGAGAGCGAGCCACTGTGTGGTGCTTAGCTGCCATGGCCTTAAGCGAGGACAATGCTATATAAGAAAGACTGTTCCTTTTCATAGAATCATAGAATGGCTAAGGTTGGAAAGGACCTTAAAGATCATCAAGTTCCAACCCTCCTCCCATGGGCAGGGACACCCTCCACTAGACCAGGTTGCTCAAAGCCTCATCCAGCCTGGCCTTGAACACCTCCAGGGATGGGGCATCCACAGCTTCCCTGGGCAACCTGTTCCAGTGCTTCACCACCCTCACAGTGAAAAATTTCTTCCTAATGTCTAGTCTAAATCTGCCTTCTTTCAGCTTAAAACCATTACCCCTTGTCCTCTCACTACATTCCTTGACAAAGAGTGTTTCCCCATCTCCCCTGTAGCCCCCTTCAGGTACTGGAAGGCTGCTATTAAGTCTCCTCAGAGCCTTCTTTTCTCCAGGCTGAACAACCCCAACTCTCTCAGCCTGTCCTCATAGGGGAGGTGCTCTGACCAATTTCGTGGCTCTCCTCTGGACTCTCTCCAATATGTCCAGGTCTTTTTCCATATAAGTTCACAAATCTAAGAAAGCTCATAAATTTGTTTGAACTGATTTTTGTTGTCCAGTATATTTTCATCATATGTAGTGAAAAATAGCATCAGGAGGGCATTGTTTGGTCTAGGGTAAGAACAACATAAGAAACAATTTGGCTATCTGCAGTTGAGACAAATTCAGAGTCAAAGCTAAGCTTCCAATGCAGAAAATGAGAAGAACAGAGAAAAGGAGGAGACAGGATTGTTTCCGCTGGATAGAAAAAAAGGCATTTGCTCTGAGACATAAGCATGAATTACTGAGTGATACTATGTCACTGATGCATGCTGGCAGAATTTTCAAGCATGTATGTATGCATGTATGCCTAAGATACAGGTATACAATACTGTTAGACACATCTTAAATGTACAGTGCTTTTCCTGACATTTTCTACCATACTTTCATAGTGATTATTGTGCTTCCTCATCAGTTAATCTATGTTCCATTTGTGGTGGGTTGACCCTGGCTGAATACCAGCTGCCCCCTGAAGCTGCTCTATTGCCCCTCCTCAGTTGGACAGGGGAGAGAAAATAGAACAAAAGGCTCATGGATCAAGATAAGGGCAGGGAGAGATCACTTGGCAATTACTGTTGTGGGCAAAACAGACTTGACTTGGCAAAAATCAATATATCACCACTCAAATCAGAGTAGGGTAATGAGAAATAAAACAAAATCTTAAAGCACCTTCCCCCCACCCACTTCTTTATGGGCTCAACTTCCAGTTTTCTTTACCTCCTCCCCCACAGTGGCACAGGGGGCAGGGAATGGGGGTTGCAGTCAGTTCATCACACATTGCCTCTGTTGCTCCTTCCTCCTCAGGGGGAGGACTCCTCAAATTCTTCCTGTGCTCCAGTGTGGAGTTCCTCCCACAGGAGACAGTCCTCCATGAACTTCTCTAAAATGAGTCCTTCCCACGGGCTGCAGTTCTTCACGAACTGCTCCAGCATGGGTCCCTTGCACAGGGTGCAGTCCTTCAGGCACAGACTGCTCCAGCATGGGTCCCCCGTGGGGTCGCAAGTCCTGCCAGCAAACCTCCTCCAGTCTGGGCTCCTCTCTCCATGGGTCCACAGGTCCTGCCAGGATCCTGCTCCAGTGTGGGCTTCCCACAGGGTCACAGCCTCCTTTGGGCACAGCCACCTGCTCCAGCGTGGGGTCCTCCCTGGGCTGCAGGTGGATCTCCACTCCCCCGTTCCCCTCCATGGCTGCCGGCACTACTCTCCGTGTCTGCAGGGGAATCTCTGCTCTGGCACGTGGAACACTTCTTCTCCTTCCTTCAGCACTGGCCTTAGTGTCTACAGAGTTGTTTCTCTCACATAGTCTCATTCAGGTTTTTTTTCCCCCTTCTTAAATATGTTATCACAGAGGCGCTACTGCCATTGCTGATGGGCTTGGCCTTGGCCAGCGGTGAGTCCATCTTGGAGCTGGCTGGCATTGGCTCTGTCAGACATGGGGGAAGCTTCTAGCAGCTTCTCACAGAAGATACCCTGTAGTCCCTCCGCACCAAAATCTTGCCATGCAAATCCAATACGCCATTATAGGTGGTGGGTATATGAAATGTATTGATCATGAAACAAGAGCAAAGAAAGTTAGATGGAACATTCTCCAATACTAAAGTTAAATGCTTTCCATTCTTCTCTTAGAGTAACATACAGTAAAACTCCTTAAGATTGTTTCTTTCAAAGTATTTGTTTTACAGAAAGTGCAAGAGGAACATAAACGGTTGCTTAAAGGAGGGCCTTTCAAGTTAAATCTATATCCCCAGGAGTATTTTGACATGAATCCCTATTTTAATGACAAACCTTTGCCACCTCTGAAGAAGCCAACTCCAGAGAAGCCAGTTGCACCACCCTTCAAACCAAGTTCTCCTGCTAAAAAGGTAAGTTTATCTTGTAGCTACTGGAGACAAAAGATAAATATTCAGATATAACCTGTTAAAAGCTTTGCTTACAGCACCTAAGATAGAAATGTTGGGTGTTTCTAGTAATTTCTTATTTTTCTTACAAAAGATATTATTCCATTTAACTTTTCAGTTGACAAAGCAATGAAATCTTGTTTGACTCAACAGCAACTGCTAACTAGTTTCAAGTGACCTAAAAAGTTTTTCTCTTTAAAATCTGCATAGTGCTGTTAACATACAGTTAATTGACTTCAGACACCACAAAAAGATACAAAGCAGAAGGTTATGCAATAAGTGACAGTAAGACTAGATTACTGTATCAAAATGAAATGCTCTCCTATTTTGGACTCTGTCAGTCACTCATATAATTTTTGAACCTGCTAATTGCTCCCAGCTTATATAGACAAACATCTAAAAGGTAATTCCTGGAAGTGTCATGGGAATGGATAGCTGGAAGGAGCAGAAAGACTCGGCTTAGTCCCTCTGCTGAGGGAAATGTTGCGAAGTCAGGAGTTACCTGTTGCTTGTCCATGAGCAGCCACAAATTTGGAGTCTGCTTTAGAATTTGCCAACTCTTCAGCAGTTAGGAGAAAAGGAGGAAAAGGATGGGAATATATGTATGTGGAAGGGCTTAGAGAGCATAAGAAATAAAGCCTGGAGTTAGTATGAAGGATATATAGGAACATAGTTCATTAGTTCCAGTTGCTTAGTGTCATTATTTCTTAAAATCAAAATGTATATTTTTCTATTCCATAAAGCATTCCATCTTGATAGATTTTTTTGAGATGAGATACTAAATTTATGCCATTCACCTTAGGCTAAACCTTAAATTCACTTTGAAACGTGCTTAAGATGCATAAATATCTCTTAAATGACTCCAGATACCTAATACAGTAACACCCCTTAATCTGTCACTTTTCAGCTCTTCATTTTAGAGTTCCCTTATCAGTCATTTAGTACTGTGCTCTGCTAACCACTATTTTCCCATTATTATGTCCTTCACCCTTGACTTACTTGACTGACACTGGCTCATCTGAGGAAGATGATGATAGCAAGGAAAGTATAACTATTCAGAAAGAGACAGCAAAAATGCTTACACATGAATAATTGTGTTGGGTGTTTGGCTTCATAGACAAGGCAGCTGAGATCTTTCAGAATGGCAATCTGTTCAGAAAAGTTAGCTGCTAGAAAGTCAGCACCTCATCTGGGTGACAGTGCTGGTGATCCTGCTCCAGGCTCCCCATCCTTCACACCACAAGTGCTTTCTCCATATGTTTAAATTATGTGTACTTCACAAGCTACTGCATGCTTTTCCTCTCTGCTGTATAAATTCTTATGGGAGAAATTGCTTTATTGTTGATTGAATCTCTTACTGCTGCACTTTTCAGGAATGCAGCCTCAGCAGTCTGTGGGGTTTAGCTGTACTAGTGGATTGCAAAGAATGAATCAAATCTCTGGATGTTTTTTTAACTAAAATTTGCCAGTCTTGTAGTACTGGTGGACATAATGTTTCAGGAAAAGCCAATGCTGTATTCAATCCTATTTGTCAGAAAGCATATTGGTAATAATGCCTAAGCCCTTCTGTACATAACAATCCCTACGCCAGTACCGGACATGGAGGTGTACTAGTAAACTAATTGTGATGTAGGAATTCACTTTTTTTGCCATACCATAGCTTGCTTTAATGAGTTATGTTTTGACTTTTTCTGTCACATTTTTAAGATCCTTTCCTCAAAATTCAGACTTATGAAAGAACATTTAAAACTAAGGATTCATCAGAATAATAACTAAAATTTTCCTTAAAGTTTCCATTGCAAATTTAAGGAATATTTGTTTTTTGTTTTCTTTTATATAATATGATGCAGTCTGCTATTCATTATTCTTACTTGCTTTTGCATGAAAAAATATTTTAATTAACACAATTATATCGTAGATTGGCACTTGAAAAATTCTTTTTCTTTTTTTTTTTTTTCAGTCAGGGGGCACTAAAGCAGGCACATTTGATCCTTACCCAAGCCATTCTGCTGACCCTTACGTAATTAAAAAACCTAAGGCTGTCCCAACTAATAAAGAACAACAGATCTTTCTTCCTCCTCCTGGACCAAAAAGCAGACCTGTTAAGAGCATAATAACTTTAAATGTCACAAGGTAAGATGCTTTAATCTGAGTTCATGTTTCATGTATGCTGTCTACCAAAAGTCATTAGCAAAGCTGTTTATTATGGTCTAAAATAATTGAATAAATGAAGGAATTAATTATTGAGGATAAGAAATGTGTAAGGAACTTGGTTTTCAAAATTTATTCGTACTCTTCTGTAAACGCAGATTACTTTACAAGGCTATACGTATCATAGAGACCTTAAAAATCATGCTGTAGAGGTGTAACTGAAACTTTTTTTATTTTCTGACTTGGTAAATGTAAAAAGACTAGGAATGTTCCTGTTAAAAACAAAATCTGTTTTTGTTTTCCCCTCTGTTTATGGAATAAAATTGTCTCCCTCTGCTAGCAAACATAATCTTAGGTAATGTAAGCCTGTGAAGATTTTGAAACAATGGTACTCAAATTGTATTCCTAACTACAAACATATCACTGTGCAATGTTAGAGAAGATTTATAGTACACAGTGTATAGATATAGGTAGATAAACACATAATTCTTTACTTTTTTATCTTACTAAGCTATAACTGTTATATTTAAAACAGTTTATTTTCTGGTTTCTGCTCTGTTGTAATTCAAGCAGAAAATCAAGACTATGTTCTTTAAAGTTATTTAGAGAAATAATTTTCAATGCAGGTTGCCTGTAGAACAGTTAAGCATATTATTTTGCATACTCCATGAGTGACATAAAATATTTTAACAGTACTTGATGAAAATTGGAAAAACTGTCTTAGAGGAATCTGCTTCACACTTGTGATTTGGCTTTTACATACCATATGTGAACTCTCAGAAATACAGCTTTATTCACCTGTTGCTGTTCTGTTTACTTTATTTCACCTTGTATCAGCATTTGCATAATCACTTTTAAAGTTGCAGGGATAGTTTTAAGTTTTTATTTGCACTGACAAGGCAGAACAAGAAGGTACATATTACTCCACATTGCTTTTCATTACTAATGGAAAGTAAGAAATAATTGAAAGTAACTTTCTGGTACAACAAAAAGTGCGGTAACTACCAACACTGATGTAAGAAAGTGCAACCTTCCTTGTATGCACTGGTGTTCTTCAGCTAGTAAAAGGGGAAAAGAATGGTGTATTGGTCTGAGTAGCCTTCTTCTTGGTGTAATTGTTTGTATTATTGTTTTATCAACAGAGGAAAAATTCAAGTTCCCAAATGAAATGTTTTTGTTGGAAAAAAAACCCCTAACTGTATGCGAACAAGGTTCCAAAATTGATGGGATGGCACACATTGTGAGATGTCATTGTGTGCTCACAGATACAGTTATGATGGTGGACTCATTACAAATATTTGTAAAGAGAAAAATGTCACGTATCCACAAGAGAGAAATTTAGCCTAAGATTTCAAATTCTCCACTACTATTTCCTTTTAAAAAGAATTTAAAAGAATGTATTTATTTTTGTAAAGAGTGTATTTGTATTTTGGATCCATTATTCCTAGGTTTAATAGAATGAGAATTGTGAACTGAAGCTCATAGCTTTTTTAAGAAATATATTGTAAGAAATACGGTAAACTGGATTACAGTTCTTCATGTACTTTCCAATGGCAAGCTTGTCTTCTGATATTTGGCCCATAATCCTGTAATTGGATTTGCTTGTGTAGATTCTTGCTCTCACGCAGAGCTCTATGAAATCAATGTGACTTCATGAGGATCCAAGTCATTTAATCTAATTACAGGACTGGCTGTACTACAGTTTTTCACTTTTACAAACCTCCTGTAATTTGTACAGTGCTATTCCACAAAAATGTAATAAGTTTCTCTTCATTTACATTTCAGATCATTAAATGTCAAGAACTATAAGACTGCACAGCTGACATCTTACTAGGTATAAAAGGTGAAATGAGGGGTACACTTTTTAGACTTGTAAACTGTTAACAAAGCAAATAAAAGTGTGAGAAGTGGATTTCGAGTACATAGGACAATCCAATCTGTTTAATTACTGAGACCATTGTCTTTTGTTTCTAAATATAAAGCTATAGTAAATAATTTCAGATCATTTATTTATTAAGTCCAAGGTTGTATTTTTATATAAATTGTATATAATTTTTACATAAATTTTTACCTTCTTGCTTAACTGGACTTTTCAGAGGTACTTTTAGAAAACATACTTTTTTAATGAGTAATTTGGGTTGCAAATAGAATATATATTGCAGTGGAAGGAAGTGCCTATATTTTAAATTGAATATCAGTGTATCTATTAACCAAGTTAGTCATGTGTGGCACACACTGAAACTAAGGCCATTGTTTCCCTTTGGTAGAATTACAACTGTTACTTTATTTCAACTACAATTTTGTGTAAGAACTGTCTGAAAAATATGTAATTTTTAGTTCTGATGGCGTTCTCCAAATGACCAATGTCAAGCATTGTTCAAAACCAACTGACAAGCAGGCTCTTGTGAAAGGAGTCTCTCTGTTTACCAGTGTCTGTTTACCACTCTTCCTCAATTTCCTGACAATCATAAGTGCTGCCAGATAATATTCTCCCAGAGCAGCTTAAGTTAACTTTGTGTACATGGAAGGTTCCTAACAAATCTGATCTGTCTTTCAAACTAGCTTCTTCTCAGATGGAACTGTGATCCTAAATATACACCTTACCTCCATCTTAAATATTTTTTGTCAGGTTTTTAGATGTGGTCCAAGAATTTTTTTCATGTAAATCAAAGCTAATTTATTATGAAAATTAAAAAAAAAATTACTCTGCATTTATTTATCCAAATTATTACACAAAGAGAAAATTTCTTATTTTTATTAAAGATTTATCATACCACTGCAGAATATTCATTAAATAGTATCCTTATGGCTGTTCCCAGGATAAGAGTTTTTTAAAGAAATTCCAGACTAGATCTTGCATTTCCGGGCATCAATGAACATAAAAATAAACCCAAGAATTGTTGGTCAGGTCTTCCACCATCTGTTGAGGCAGAAAAACCATCACCTTGAGATCAACAGGACCCAACCCAATATTTTAAAATATGAATTTATACAAGAAGTTTGATGTTTTCTTTATCCAAAGACCTATAAGAGAATGCCTTTGTTCTTTGTTCATACCTTGTATTAGGTAATGGTACCAGTGCTGACCTTAGGTACCTTAGTGTCATCTATGTTGACCTATAAGAGAATGCCTTTGTTCATACCTTTTATTAGGTAATGGTACCGGTGCTGACCTTAGGTACCTTAGTGTCATCTTTGTACAGAGTATCAGGAACATTTGCCATGTGCACTTGTGAAGTCTGCAGATGCAGCATTTCTAGGTAGATTGAATGGTACTGTACTTGCTCCTAACTTATGTTCTGATGTAGTACAGTTGATGAAGACTGCTCTGAAGTTTTTCTTTATGCTGTCTCTTTTCTGCAATTCTTCCTCTTCTATTTTCTTCTGTGTTTCAATGATCTTTTAATTCACTAACAAGATGGAAATACTGAAAGCTGATTAAATTATATGGAGCTTAATAAAAAAAAAAAATCAATCCAGCTTGTTTGAGAAGATTTTAGTGTATGTGGACTAGCCTCTTGTGGTCATCATGGGAGCCAGTAAGTTATCCTGGAAAGTCCCCACCAGCAAATGTGCAGTCCCAAGGAGCTGACACCCAATTCTATCTAGGGCCTCAGGATGCTGTTTTAATACAAATACTAGTTGTGTCCCTTGGCTTCTTGGCAGTACCTTTTACTGTGATGGTGGAATGTAGAACTTCCTTAAAAGTTGTTACCCAGTTATCTAAGGTAAGGAGGACATTAGACATTGGTCGCATTTAAGAGATCCAGTCTGAAGCAACTTCATGTTTATGCAAGCGTTAAATGCAATTATACACCTGACCTACTCAATAGCCCCAGTATTGACCATTTCACTGTCCTTGACTTTGGGTGTGCAATGCAAACTGGTGGTGTAATAGTTCTGCCTATCTCAAGTAAAAAACGGGTGTGCAATGCAACCTGGTGGCGTAATAGTTCTGCCTATCTCAAGTAAAAAAGGGCAACAATCCCTTTTGTATTTTAAAACAATTTTACAGGAAAAAGAGAACAAAACTGAGATCTTTAATGTAGTTTTCAGTCATTCTGCTGTACCTGTATCCATCAGTATTGATACAAAAGTATGCTTTATTACATTTACAGTCTTGCTTTACAAGCCACATAAATAATTGTTAATTTGCTGCAATCGGTCTTTACAACTTATTGGATAAATAGGAAGAAATTGATTACTTTTATGTGGTAATAGTCTCTGAAGAGATGGTGCCCTTTATTGGCCAGGAGCTTGTACACCTAGTGTTGTACTAACAGGAAAGTGAAAATAAATAATTACTTCTAAGTCTCTTCTGGAAACACCAAGAACTAATGACATGGTTTGACATTCATGGATTTAATTATTAAGGAGTGAGTCAAAAAATAAGTTCCTAAAAATAGTCCTAAGAGTGTTGTAGAGACACTGCATACAGGCAGCTTCAACTTCACAGAATATTTTATGCAGTATTTTTTGAGACATCCTTCCTGCCCATGGTCCTTGGCTGAGAAAATCGGAGTATCTGTGCAGTGATTATAATTTTTGTGCCTTTCATAGCTATGAGCATGTTCTCTGAATATGTTTACACTGAAAATACTAAAATTAATGTTTTAGCTAATAAGCTTTCTAAGTCAGTATCTAGTAGAAAGAGAGGAAGGGTGCCTTATGTTGATTAAAGATAGACCAGAATTAGGTGTCATCTAAACCACATGTAGACAAAGATTAAACTTAAATTAGGACTTCCTGCAGAAATAACCAGTGAAATGTTGTGGCTTACGCATTAAGCTGTATTAAGCTTTCCAACTACGCAATCCTAGGGACAGAATTCTACCTCCTGTAAATGTCCCAGTTTCCTTAAATTTCTTTATACTGCTTACATTGTGTAAGGATCTGCTTTTGGGAATCTGTGGAATTCAGCCAAGTATCAAAAAAACAGGCAGTTCTTTTTAGAATGTAACAGAAACATGGAAATGACTGGACATCAGAATTGTAAATGTTTTACAAAAGAAAATAGTTTATTACAATTTATTTGAATCAACAGACTGTTGTAGATTACCGGGAATTGCCTGGAAAAGAAAATCAGCTAGTAAGATATTGCAAAATAAAGTCCATGCCTTGTGAATCATATTGCAGGGCTGTACACATAGAACAGAAATGTCTCAACAAATTCTAGTAGAATATTGAGAGTAACGGTTGTTATTACATGGTCCCAGAGCTGTAACTAGGTTTCATTTACCCACAGACTAGAGCTGTATCTTGGCATCAGCGATAAATATAATCCTTATGCAAATGGGCAAATTTAAACTGTAATGCAACCCTCTCATGTTCAGTACTCCAGAGGCGATTTTCTGTTAGTAAGTGTTCTTTGGCCACTTCTCTAATGCCACCTGCATATTTGGAAGTGTCCTGTCTATACTCCTGCAGTTCTTTCTTGAGGAACTGATTTTCCTCTGTGACGTTTGTTACTGCTGTTGATAACCTCTTGCATTCTCTGTTTATGCTGGTCAAACTAGACTTTAAAGATCAATACCCGCTTTTGCATTTCTGAGTTCAATCAGAAGTTTCTCTTCTGTATAAGCTATATCTGAGTGGAGTTTCTCAAAGTCCTTCTGCAGCCTCTCTTTAATAGTGGAACATTTCTGCAGGCTCACTACAAGGTTCAGGTTTTTGGCTTCCAGTGTTTGTGTAAACTGAAGAAGAGTTTCCAGTTCTGAATGCACTGTGGTTTCTATTTATTTTCTTTGTTGCATTTCCCTTTGATTTCTTTCAAGCTCGTGCATTAGGGAACCATTTTCTTTTGTAAGCTGAGATATTTCTGGCTGAAGTTTATTTTTTTCTATTGACTTGAAGCATGGCTTCAAGTTCTTGGCTTCCTTAATACATTCCTTGTTATCTCCTTGTGATTTAAGCAACTGGATTTGCACCCTTTTCTTCAGCTAAATCCTTAATTTGCACACGACCTTGTGATATTTTTTCTTTCAAAGACTGTATGGTACCAGTAAGAGGTTCCACTTTGTTCTTGTGAACTAAATTTTCATTCAGAACATCATGTGCTGTTTTTTGCAAATGCTCAGGAATTTTCAGGGACTTTTGCAGTGCTTCAATTTTGCCATCATATTCAGAGGCTACTTTCATTTTGTTGAACTTCTGATTTCCTAGCTTCAATAACATTGGATTTGAAATAGTCTTTTGTTCTTTTTCTTTTTTCAGTTGTGCTCTGTTATTTAATGTCTTACCTTTCACCATCTTGGAAAAAGAATTAACCTGGAACCTGTCACCTTCACTGTAATTGCTTCTCAATTCTTTATGTACATTTTTGCTTGGAGATTCTGCTTTTTCACTGTATATGGTTGTAGGAGAACCACCCCATGCACTGGCACATTCAGAGCCTTTATAAAATTCTTGATAAAACTGTAGGCCATTTTTTTAAGTGGATCTAAACCAATATGTGTTTCATCTGAAGAGTTCACCATTTCTGCACTTTCTTTTAAGTTATTTAATTTTTTTCTGTATAAAAAATCAGATTTTTCTGTCTTACCTGCTAACAAATCCAAATCATTAGAGACTGACTTCTGATATTCTTGTTTCAGCAACATGGTAGGATAGTTAGTATTGTTTGTTTTATGAAACTCTTTCCTGAGGTTGGGAAAAGTTATTCTGGAATGTTTAGATTCACTCAAAAGGACCTTCTCATGGGCAGCAGGCACCTTTTCTGCCTCCAAAGCAGTGCCAGATAGCAAACATCCATATGTATGTTCATTTTTCATTTTGAGTATCCTGTTGTTTCCAAGCAGATCATCTGAATTTTCAACCTTTTTAGTTGCTCTAGTT